AAAAATACAAAAATTCTATGATAGAATATATTTGCTGGGAAGAAAAAAAAGGAGATGAAAAGGGAGGAGACAATATAACCGATACTACAGAAATTCAAAGGACTATTAGTGTCTACCATGAGCAACTATATGCTAATAAATCAAAAAATCGGGCCGGGCGCGGTGGCTGAAGCCTGTAATCCCAGCACTTTGGGAGGCCGAGGCGGGTGGATCACGAGGTCAAGAGATCGAGACCATCCTGGTCAACATGGTGAAACCCTGTCTCTACTAAAAAAAAAATACAAAAAATTAGCTGGGCATGGTGGTGCATGCCTATAATCCCAGCTACTCAGGAGGCTGAGGTAGGAGAATTGCCTGAACCCAGGAGGCGGAGGTTGCGGTGAGCCAAGATCGCGCCATTGTACTCCAGCCTGGGTAACATGAGTGAAACTCCGTCTCAAAAATAAATAAATAAATAAAAATAAATAAATAAATCAAAAAATCTAGAAGGAATGGGAAAATTCCTAGATACACACAACCTCCCAAATTTGAACCATGAAGAAATCCAAAACCTGAACAGACTAATAATAAGTAACGAGATTGAAGCCATAATAAAAAGTCTCCCAGTAAAGAAAAGGCCAGGACCTGACAGCTTCACTGCTGAATGCTACAGACATTTAAAGAAGAACTAATACTAAATCTCCTGAAGCTATTCTGAAAAATAGAGGAGAGGGGAATATTTCCAAACTCATTCTACAAGGCCAATACTACTCTGATAACAAAACCAGAAAAAGACACATTGAAGAAGAAAAAAAAAAAACCTGGCTGGATGAATAGTTCATGCCTGTAAATCTTAGTATTTTGGGAGGCCAAGGCAGGCAGATCATTTGAACCCAGGTCTTCCAGACCAGCCTGGGTACCACGGTGAAACCCTGTCTCCACAAAAAAATACAAAAATTAGCTGGGCATGGTGGCACATGCCCATACTCCTGGCTACACAGGAGGATGAGGTGGGAGGATTGTTTGAAGTCAGATGATTAAGGTTTCAGTGAGCCATGATTGAATTACTCGCTCTGGCCTGGGTGACAGAGCGAGACCTTGCCTCAATAATAAAAAAAAAAAAAGTAAAAGAAAACTACAGGTCAGTATCTGTGATGAATTTTGATGCAAACATCCTAAAAAGATCATTCTACTGTAATCAAGTGGGATTTATCCCTGGGATGCCAGATGGTTCAACACATGCAAATTAATCAGTATGTTAAATCAATCAATGTGATACATCATATCAACAGAACGACTCTGGAGCCCACACTGTTGCTTCCCGGACTGGTGGTGAATCCTCCATAGTCTGGTGAGTGTAACAACAACAACAACAACAACAACAACAAAACAACAAAATATATATATATATATATATATTTTTTTTTTTTTTCACATGGGATAAAGCTTATTTACCCTTAAAGGTATTGTGTGTGTGTTTTCTTCCCCCCTTGTGCATCTCCCGTATAGAACAGCATGGTGGTGGGTGCCTGTAATCTCAGCTATTCAGGAGGCTGAGGCAGGAGAATCGCTTGAACCCGGGAGACAGAGGTTGCAGTGAGCAGAGATCAAGTCAAGCACTCCAGCCTGGGTCACAGAGTGAGACTCCATTTCAAAAAGAAAGAAAGAAAGAAAGAAAAAAACAATTCTAAAATTTATATGGATTCACAAAAGACCCAGAATAGCCAAAGCTATCTTAAGCAAAAAGAACAAAACTGGGGGAATCACATTACCTGACTTCCAATTATACTAAAGAACCACAGTAACCAAAACAGCATGATATTAGCATAAAAACAGACACATAGACCAATGAAGCAGAACAGAGAACCCAGAAACAAAATCCACACACCTACAGTGAAGTCATTTTCCACAAAGGTGCCATGAACATATACTGAGGAAAAGACAGACTCCTCAATAAATGGTGCTGGGAAAACTGGATATCCATATGCAGAAGAATGAAACTAGACCCCTACCTCTCACCATAAACAAAAATCAAATCAAAATGAATTAAAGACTTAAATCTAAAATTTTAAACTATGAAACTACTATAAGAAAATGTTGGGGAAACTCTCAAGGATATTGGTCTGGGCAAAAATTTATTGAGTAATACCCTACAAGCACAGGCAAACAAAGCAAAAATGCACAAGTGGGATCACATTAAGTTAAAAAGCTTCTGGAAGGCCGGGTGGGGTGGCTCACGCCTGTTATCCCAGCACTTTGGGAGGCCGAGGTGGGAAGATCACCTGAGGTCAGGAGTTTGAGACCAGCCTGGCCAACATGGCGAAACCCTGTCTCTACTAAAAATACAAAAAATCAGTCGGGTGCGGTGACACGTGCCTGTAGCCCCGGCTGCTTGGTAGGCTGGGGCAGGAAGGAGAAGCACTTGAACCTGAGAGGTGGAGGTTGCAGTAAGCCAGATCCCACCGTAGCACTCCAGCCTGGGCGACAGAGTGACACTCCACCAAAAAAAAAAAAAAAAAAAAACTTCCGCACAACAAAGGAAAACAATCAACAAAGTGAAAAGACAACCATAGAATGGGAGAAAATACCTGCAAACAAACCATCTGACAAAGGATTAATAACCAGAATATATAAAGAGCTTAAACAACTCTATAGGAAAAAAATCTAATATAATAATCTGATCAGAAAATGGGCAAAAGATATGAATAGACATTTCTCAAAAGAAAACATACAAATGGCAAACAGATATATGAAAAAATGCTCAACATCACTGATCATCAGAGAAATGCAAATCAAAACTACAATGAGATATCATCTCACCCCAGTTAAATGGCTTATATCCAAAAGACAGGCAATAACAAATGCTGGTGAGGATGTGGAGCAAAGGAAACACTTGTACACTGTTGGTGGAAATCTAAATTAGTACAATCACTATGAAGAACAGTATGGAGGTTCTTCAAAAAACTAAAAATAGAGCTACCATAGGATCTAGCACTGCCACTGCTGGGTATATACACAAAAGAAAGAAAATCAGCATATCAAAGAGAGATATCTATACTCCTATGTTTATTGCAGCACTGATCACAATAGCCAAGATTTGGAAGTAACCTAAATATCCATCAACAGATGAATGAATAAAGAAAAAATGTGGTACTTATACACAATGGAGTATTATTCAGCTATAAAAAAGAATGCGATCCTGCCATTGCAACAACATGGATGGAACTGGAGATCATTGTGACAAGCGAAATAAGCCAGGCACAGAAAGACAAACATTACTTGTTCTCACTTATTTATGGGATGTAAAAATCAAAACAATTAAACTCATGGACACAGAGAGTAAAACTATGGTTACCAAAGGCTGGGAAGGGTAGTGGTGAGATGGGAACTGGGGAGGGAATGGTTAATGGGTACAAAAAGTTAGAAAGAATGAATAAGACCTAGAATTTGACAGCACAACAGGGTGACTATAGCCAATAATAATTTAATTGGACATTTAAAACTAAAAGAATATAATCAGATTGGTTGTAACACGAAGAATAAATGCTTGAGGGGATAGATACATCCTCAATAAAATAAATAAACAGAAACAGGAGGTAGATTGGCCCATAGACTGAAGTTTAGAGACTCCTGCTCAATAAGAAGAACTAAATACCATATCTGACAAACTTAAACAAAATATCATTACTACAGAGCCTTGAGAAAACAGATTTTTCTTTATAAGATGCTAACTCCTTAAACAAAACAGCGGATACCACAATTCCTGAAGGAGTACCTTAAAGATTCACACAACTATAGCTTTTTAAAAGGACCAGGGCAACGTTTACAATGAAAGGAGAAATAGACACAGTTTCCATGATGCCTTTACTGGCTTAAATGACAGAAGAAATGAATAGTGTCTGACTGGCACATATTGCCTGGCCAGGGCCTCACTCCCACACTCCCTCTGTTTTCCCAAAAGGATATCTCCCTCTCCAAATGGCTAGTATCTAACCATCAGGGCTTAATCCTAAGCAAAATACTGAACTAGCTGTTTTGTCCTTAGTGTCCTGCTATCTGCAAAGCTATCCATCTGTCTGCCCTACCTTCAACCTTTCCTTTCAAATATAGTTCTAATCAATCTTTCCTTTCTCTAGTCTATACAAAGTCACAAGTTTATGTCAATTTTATTAAAGCTGTAGCAACAACAAAAAGTCTGATTAACTTAAACTAAATAAAATGTTAATGGTTGAAACTATAGCTCCCCACAAAACATCTTCACTTGATAGTTACCTTCAATATTTTGACTGGCAACATAGAAGTTTCAACCACAGTGAGAGATATTTTTGAGCAGAAAGAGCTTTCTATGCCCCTCAAATCACATCTAAGACCTACCAGGTGACAAAAATTCATTTATAAACTAAACAGTTTAGATAAAGTAGACACTTTAGTTTACTATGAACTGATGATATACTGGCAAACTTAGTAGATGGAGGGCTTTGAGCCAGCTACTTATGTATCAGGTCCTAATCTATAACGCGGCACACCCTGCAGTTGTAGGGATGAGGGGTAAAGTTCATAAGCCACCTAGTGCACAGCCAACCACACAGTGGGTGCTCATAATTGGTAGCTATTTCCAGGATGATGATAAACAAGGATATATCAGAAAATGTTCAGAATTCATCTGTAGAACATGTGGGAGAAGGCTTTAAAATAATAGCATTTCTGCTTGTATTATAAATAAGGGAAAAGGAGAAAAAAGAAACATGCATAGAGAGATTTTTTTAGTTGTGCAGGTAGAGACAGTCTGTGTGTGTGTGCCCGTCTCTCTGTCTGTCTGTCTGTCTCTCTCTCTCTCTCTCTCTCTCTCTCACACACACACACACACACACACACACACAGAGGAACCTACAATGGTAACCCGCCAGAAAGAACTTGACCTGGTGTATGCTAGAAAACATCACCCTCTAGTGACAGCTAGGAATTTGCTGCTTATTCAATTTGCAAGAATTCACATTTAAACTCTTCTATCCAAAAAAAGGCTTTAGAAGTCTTCAGAAATGCAATCATCATTACAATCATGTGTTGCTGTGGTGGGGGCCAGGAACATGAATTCCTTGAAGTTATACAAAAACTTTCTATGCATGTGCCTTTGCGCATTTTTTCTATGAAGGTCTTAAGTGTTAGAGTCTCAAAGTGGCCTGTGAGTTTAAAAAAAAAAAAGGTCAAATTAAAATATTTCGACCAGGCATGGTGACTCACATCTGTAATCCCAGCACTTTTGGAGGCTGAGGCAGGCGGATGACCTGAGGTCAGGAGTTTGAGATCTGCCTGACCAACAAGGAGAAACCCTGCCTCTACTAAAAATACAAAAATTACCCGGGTGTGGTGGCGCATGCTTATAATCCCAGCTTCTCAGGAGGCTAAGGCAGGAGAATCGTTTGAAACCAGGAGGCTGCAGTGAGTGGGCAACAAAAGCGAAACTCTGTCCCCGCAAAAAAAGTTTCATATGGAAATTAATTAACCTACGAATAGGCACAAGTACTTGAAATGCTTATTTCCTCAACATGCCCTTTCTTTATGTATACTCCTAATCGGGAATATAAAATCTGAAACCTAACTGAATTCCATTGATTTGTTCTGTAAATCATTTCATCACATTTATGTTAATCTTTCTAAAAGTGTATTCCCATTTTGCCCACCTCTTATTTTAAAAATGTTGTCATCACATATATCATCAGGCTCCTGAGCCACTCTCTGGCTTTCCTGTCCCTTCCACAACTACAGCGTGACCTCCAGCTCATCTTCCACAGACCCTTCCATTTCCTCCTTTGTAAATCAAAGACCGCATATGCTCATTTACCTCACACTCTTTTGTAAGAATTACAAATTAATTGTTAATAATACTAATGGTATTAATTATGATTAATTAGAAATAAGTTGAGAAAGATAAAGTATTATACAAATGTTGGCTGCTGAATGTCTACTGGGACACTGGAAGTCAAAACAGTATCAGGTCTTTCTATGTCTGTGGTAGAATGCCAAAGCCTGGACACACATTCTTTTAGTAATTTTAGGTCACTTCTGCAAGTGAATACTAGGAGACTGTGCCTTACTCCTGATCTTTGCTCTCAGGGAGCCACTCCAGCTTAAGCCTTCCACCTACCAGAGATAACCTCAGGTTTTCCTCAACCCTCCAGATCTTATTTGACATTTTATTATAGGTAGCAACTTGTTGTGTACTTAATACTATTGAACTGTTGAGTTTAAAAATGATTAAGATGGTAGATTTTATGTGTTTTTTACCACAATAAAAAAAATAAGGCTCCAAATGAGCTACAAAATGAGGGCCCTAAAAGATTATAAAGGACTCTATTTCTAATCCTTCTCATTTTTCAGATGAAGGAACAGAATTAACGTCCCATAGCTGAGACCCAAGAGCAGGACCTGGGGGGTACACTGATTCCTAGTACATAGTTGACTACAAAACAACAACAACAACAACAACAACAACAACAACAACAAAATAAACCAAGTATAATGGGAAAAACTGAAGAAAGTGGTTAAGCGGGACAAAGACAACAAAGTAGGCAGAATCACAAGAAGAAAGAAGACCAAGGGAAAATTTCAAGAACATTTTTTAAAGTAAGAAAGCATGGAGGAAATGACTGAATATTTTATAAATATAAGATGGTCCCTGTTTTGCTGGAATAGCAATCTGAAACCATCATTTATCTTGCTCCGGGTGGAGCTGAGGTCTGGGAATTCCCATATAAGGTAGTTTGTTCAGGCTTACTTCCTCAAGCAGACATCATACCTCTCCATCCAAAAAAGGCACTGGAAGAAAAGATTCTTTGGGAACAACATCCACACATACATTAAAGGCTGTGGTTTCCACTCCTAATGGTTAGTAGATTTGCCAAGACAGCCTCCTCCCAACCCCCGCCCAAATATGGTTCAGCATCTAGCAGTCACCACCGCAGAGCCTTCCTGTGGTCTCGACTGGCAGTGGTGATAAAGGTCGGCATGACCTTACTGCTCTCCACAAATAGCCCAATAATGTCCTCTCACGATATGGTCACATTTTTCCTTTTAAGAGCAGCCCTGCTATTATGTATGGTACCTTCCTTCCAAAGAGCTTTCCATTCTCAGGTGAAGCTGCTTTCTCGCCCGACAATAATTTCTCTCAATGGCTTCAAGGCAGGGCCTCTACCTTCGATTTTTTTTTTTTTAGGATGAGTCTCTCTACCTTTTTCTTAGAGCTATGCTTGTCCACTTTAGTAGCCAGTAGCCACACGCAGCAACTTGAAATGTGGCTAGTCCGAATTCAGATGGATTTTAAATATAAAGTACACAGTGGAGTCTCTTGGTAATTTTACAATGCTGATGACATGATATGTATACAGCTTGGACATGATGACAGTTTGATATACTGGGTTAAATTAAACGTATTATTAAAATTAATCATCCTTCTCTCTTTTTGCCTGTTGTAAATGGCTACTAGAAAATCTTAAACTACAGATGGGGCTCACATTATATTTCTACAGGATAGCACCATTATAGATAATATAATAAACGCTGTTTACTGAATAAAGACATATAGCCCAAAAGACTTTGAGGATGAGGCTCTGAAAACTCAGGCAGACCCTGCCCAAACTCAGTAGAAAGAAACCCTGGAATCCCTTCATTTCAAACCAGCTCTTATCAGCCGGGTAACTTTCTTCATTTGCAGGTAAGATTCTTCATCTATAATGCAGACAAAATAAACCCCTCTCACAGACTGGTAAGGACTGAGAACACAAAGAAAGCATTTTAGCATTCAGCAACACATAGTATGTTCTCAGTAAATGTCACTTCCCTTTCTGTGGGTGCATTCAGTAGTGGTTTAGTCATCTTGGGGTTAGTCATGGAATGTCTGGATTCCAGTCCTCTTTGTTCCTTCTCCATTCTAATCACTTCCACAGAATTCACCACAACTTACCAGTCAGGGATGTGTGGCGAACTTCCTAAACAAAAGCTACCCTTCCCCACAGCTGTATTTTTTATTCCTACCACTTGTCGACCATATCCTTCTCATCTCTTCTCTGGGGGTCCATGCACTAATAAATTATTAAAATTAATCTCAAAATTCTGGTTGCTGCTCATTTTCTCCTTAGGACTGTTACCAGTAGCTCATTGCTATTGCCTGATTTTAAAGGGAGCTTTGTTACTATTCTAGCTATCTCATGTGTGAACACTTCCTTCCCCTCACGTGCATAGATATCCTTTACTTACCACTAGGGTCTCACCAGATATGTAATGACTGAAGGATTCTACAATGGTCCTAGAAATAAGTAAAATAAAACCGAATGTTGACTTAATTACTGACCAGGCCAATCAGGATTACGGGAATGAAAAGTACCTTTTATGACTAAGAAATGACATCTGACTTGTGAGTCTGGTGTTTATTTCTGGCTGGTTTGTCTGTGGAAAATTCACTTTATTATTTCTTTTCAGCTGTTGCCAGCAGTGTGCTGGGCTGGTGGCCCTGACAGTTGAATTCCCCCCACAGATGATGCTATTTTCTCATTCCCCACCCAATCTTTCCCAAATACTTGGCACTTTTTAGCATTATACAGGTGCTAATTGTTCTGAAAATCTGACTTAAATTAAAATTTATTGTAAATTGATGTAATCTAACATCTGGATGTCATTCTGCCTCTATGTCCCTTTTCACAAAGACAGCAACTGCAGGTCTGGGTAGGCTTGAGAGTGGGGAAGAAGGAGAAACTCCTGCAAGACGTCTTCCCCAGCATTCCTTTTTAGAAGGCAAGGGGTGAGAAGGAAAGAATTAGTGAGGGAAAGAAAAGGCAGTAGAAGGGGAGAAGATTTAAGAAGGAAAAAAGCAAAAGAAAGAAGAATGGCTTTCTTCACAGCAGCAGTCAGACGGTGGGAGGCTTGGATGAGGTTTGCAAATGTTTGGAAGTGTAGAAAAACCATGAGACTACCAGACACTAAAGTGAATTTGGTTGTTTTCAACCCTGAACTCTAGTAGTTCTGGATCTTAAAGGAGATAATGCATAAATGATGCAGAGTAAACTAAAAAACAAAGGCCGAGAATAATTCGCAGTTCCTCAAAAAGTTAAACAGAATTACCACATGGACCCAGCAATTCCAATTATGGGTATATATCCGAAAGAATTGAAAACAAGGATGCAAACAGATATATGTATACCCATGTTCACAGCAGCATTATTCACAATAGTCAAGGTATGGAAACAACCCAAGTGTCCTTCACAGGTGAATGTTATATATATTTTACTATTAATACAATACAATATTTGTTGGCCATCTAGGTCCCACCAAATATCAAGCTAGGATCCTTTCGTATACACTATTTCAATTAGTCCTCACTACTTACAGATTAAATACTATTGCCATTTACAGATAAGGAATCTGCAACTCAGATATTAAATAATAGGTTCAAAATCACACAAATGGCAGAAGTAAAATTTAAACATGGTCTTTCAACTATACCACAGTATTTCAAGGATAAACAGGCTCATGAATAAAGAACAAGTGAGAAAAGTATATGCTCCTTGTGGTCTGAAACTGTTAAATAAATGACAAGAAAGATTATAAACAGCTGAACCCAAAGAACTAGGTAGTCTAAATGTGCTCCCAGGCTGCAAACAAACTTTCTTTTAGCATAGTACATTTTAAACCCTATAAATATACTGCTAAGGAAATCTCTGCCTCTTCTCCCCACCGCGCTTCCACAAAATTGGTAAGTTAATTTTTTAATTTTTCATATTCTATATGTCCTAACCCAAACTATCATCTGGGCTGATAAAGTATCCTTTTCTCCCAACAATATTACCATACGTTTGTGGCTACATTTAGGGTATAAAACACCTCCCCACATGCCACTTCACTAAATTTAATCAAGCACTCTAGAGGACATCAACGTTTCATTTTGCAACTATTCTGACAAACTGTGTTTCAAAAGTGACACACTGACTCAGAGCTAAAACACTGCTCCTGTATACCTCTTTCTACTGAGACTAACGGGTCAATCAACATATTGCTAACTTTTGGACAAGACCCAATTTAAAATCACTGTAAGTCTTTGCATTAAAAAAAATAAAACTAGGCTGGGCATGGTGGCTCACGACTGTAATCCCAGCACTTTGGGAGGCGGGTGGATCACCTGAGGCTGAGGCAAGTGGATCATCTGAGGTCAGGAGTTCGAGACCAGCCTAGCCAACATGGTGAAACCCTGCCTCTATTAAAAATACAACAATTAACTGGGCATGGGGGTACGTGCCTGTAATCCCAGCTACTCAGGAGGCTGAGGCAGAAGAATCGCCTGAACCCGTGAGGCGGAGGTTGTAGTGATGCAGTGAACCAAGATCGCGCCACTGCACTTCAGCGTGGCTGACAAAGCAAGACTCCATCTCAAAAAAACAAAATAAAAACAAAAACAAAAAAAACCTAAAACATTAAAAAAATTTCCCTTAAAGGGCCAAGCATGGTGGCTTAAGCCTGTAATCTCAGCACTTTGGGAAGCTGAGGCAGGAGGATCTCTTGAGGCCAAGACAAGCCTGGGAAACATAGTGAGACTGTGTTTTTACAAAAATTTTAAAAATTAGCCAGGCATGGTGGTGTGTGCCTATAGTCCCAGGTGTTTGGGAGGCTGGGACAAGAGAATCGCTTGAGCCCAGGAGGATAAGGCTGCACTAAGCCATGATCACGCCACTGCACTCCAGCCTGAGTGACAAGAGCAAGATCTTGTCAATCAATTAATCAATCAATCAATCTTTTTTTTTTTTTTTTTTTTTACGTTTCATTGAAGGCTTCCTCTTTTCTCTCAGAACTCTCAGAACTGCTGACATCAAGAAACTATCAATGAGACTTCATACTCCTTCCCACCCCTCTGACAAGGCCCAGGTTCAGGCCCCACCACATCATTTGCTCAGTCCTTTGCTACAGGATGTTCATACATCTGGAATTACCAACAGAAACCACTTCTCAGTCATCTTTGTGTCCCCAGAACCTAACACAGTGCTTAGCATGGGCAAACACTCAAATGTCAACTGAATGAAGGACCCACTGACACACCCTTTTGTATGGTATTACTATCTTGCTTTTTAGTCCTTCTAATCCATTCTCTACACTGTAATATTAGCAAATCACTTCATGGCAACATTATAGTTGCTGCCCTAATGTCCCCAAACTTAACACTGCATTCAAGACCAATACTCCACATACACCCTTCCTCCCAGCCATTCTTATCCTTCAAACATTCCAGTACAGATCATTTTTGAATTTCATTGAATCAACACTTGTTTATTGAGCATTTACAGCTCTGGGCACTTGGAATACAGAGGTGAACAAGTAAAACAAAGCCCCTGCTTTAACAAATCTTCCAGGCTAATGGGGAAAACACAGCATAGAAAGGAATAGGGCAGGGCATAGATCCAGACAGATGCAAAGGTAATGGAGGCTTCTGAACAGAGAAGTAACATTGACCTACAAACCTTTGCTCAAGCTGTTGCCAACTCTGCCTAAAACAAGACTCTTTTCCATCATTTGTCAAATTCTTCAAAGCTCAACTCTAAAGTCATTACCTCCATGGTGCCATCTCTTAAGAATTACAGAGGGATCCCCCCTCTTTTTGGTTAGCCTCAAAAACTTGACACTACTTGTGATGGCCTGATGTTTAGTTATTTTTGATATATTTTTAAAACACCACCAAGTATTTTCATTCAGAATATTTCATTCTATTTTCATTCTATCAGCTGTGCACAGTGCCTTGTTGTTTGGAAACTAAAGTTATGTACCCTTTTTATCAACTGAAAGACCAAATTAAAATGATCATCCTCTTTTTAACGTTTTCTTTCCTATCCATAAAAACGCTTCTGTTCTCCTGTTCATTATAACTATTCCTTATTTCCTGATTATGTGTGTGAATGTATACATATACACACGTACTTACACAGGACATACATCTATATAAGAGAATTCCCTTACACATGCAATCGGTATCTCTTTTAATGTTATCATGTTCTTGAAGATTAACTGTAAAATCAATGCTTTGGCAAATAAATACATTTAAATCTCTAAGAAGTCCACTGTGTAAGGCAAGTCACGTAGTAAAGTAAGATTATTTTGTGGGTAAATAATGACCCCTTAATAAATGTTTTCCAAATGTAGGTCTGAGGCATTAGAGTTCCTTTAAGAATGGCCTGCTGAGGGAAATTCCACCCAACAGCAGCAGAATACATATTCTTCTCAAGTGCACATGGAACATTCTCCAGGACAGGTCAAGAAGACTGATACTATATCAGGTGCCTTTTCTGACCACAATGGTATGAAACTAGAATAGATTCTATAATAACAGGAGGACATGGAAAATTAACAAATATGTGGAAGTTAAACTATAGGCTACTAAACAACTACCGAGTCAAAGAAAAAATTTAAGGGAATATTAAGAAGAAATTAAAGGAGAAATATAAAAATATCTTATGAAAAATGAAAATGGAAACACAACATACCAAAATTTATGGGATGCAGCAAAAGTAGTACTAACAGGGAAGTTTACAGCAATAGACACTTACATCAAAAAAGATCTCAAATAACAGCCTAACATTACACCTCAAGGAACTAGAAAAAGAAGAAACTAAGCCCAATGTTAGTAGAAGGAAGGAAATAACAAAGATCAGAACAGAAATAAATGAAAAAAAAGAGACTAGAAAAACAATAGAATCAATGAAACGAAGAGTTGGTCAACAGGTACAAAATTAGTTAGCTAGAAGAGTAAGTTCTGGTGATCTATTGTACAGCAAGGTGATTATAGTTAATAATACTATATTGTATATCTCAAAATAGCTCGAGAGGATTTTAAATGTTGTCATCACAAAAAAGTAGTAAATATTTGAGGTGCTTGATAGTCTAATTACCCTGATTTGATCATTGTACAATGTACATATGAACCCAAACATCACATTGTACACCATAAATAAATGTGTCAATTAAAAATAAAACTTAAAAAAAGAATGACCAGCAGTTGTTTTTTTTTTTTTTAACAGAGTTCACGTTAATGAGTAAGAGTAACTCCTTATTTATAGCTGCTTTCTTCTTACCATGGCAGGACAAAAGTTCACTAAACATACTGTTACATTTCCCCCGGCAAAGACACTAGGCAGCAGAAATAATGTTTAAAAAATTTAATGTAATAAAATACCAAAAGCATTACTAAGGTCTTTTATAGTAGAAGGCTCTGCAGGGCATAAACTGGACGTAAACTATATGACACTAAATACTGATGATCAATTATTGTTTTAAAATTTTTATTGCAAACAAAAGGCATAGTTTCTCTTCCATACCCACCCTACTTTGAAACCAATAAAACAAAAAAGTTTTCACATATTTCAGTAATTAAATACACATCTACAAGATTTAAGAACCATAATCATAACCTCTGCAGCAGGGAGAAAATTTTAATCAGCATGGCTAAAGGTTGCTACAACTCACCCAAGACCCCTTCTGCATAGAGTTTCAACAAATATCCTTTAGATTTGCTTTTTAAGTAACTGAGAAAGACAGATCATAAGGAAAACAACTCCAGAAATACAATACCCTGTATTTGGCTGATTTAGGCGATCACATCCATTTCTTCTCTTAAACTTTTCTCAAACTTCCACTCCACCTTACATACACAGGCCAGGTCTGTAAACCTAACACTCTACCTCAGGCACCTCCAGATCCCCTTCTCTTAATTTAAGAGTAAAGAACCCTCCTCCTGGCCCCTACTCTTATTTAACTTACTTATCAGGGTTTGGGAGGCCAGTTTCACATCACTGTGAGTTATCTTTGAAAGCTCCTATTTCCTAAACTGTATAGAACTTCCTCATCTTAGTTTTGTCTCCATTGTCTTGAACTATATTTGAGCCAATGAAACCAAGTTGAGGTTTTTTTTTCCCTGTATTTAGTCAAATCACGTGACATGGTGTGTTACATGATAACCCCACTGTTCTGAAGCAACAGGACAACACCCCTAAATGTCATAACTCATATCCTGTTAAGTTACTTTATATACTTCATGAATTTAAGAAATTCACCCAAAAACTTATTCAAAGCACATATAACATGCAGACAAATATTTAGAAAAAGGAATAATGATCAGCATAGAAACAGGTAACTTTAAACAAATGACAGACTCTGGCCCTCTGGATCTCTACAATATCTACATGTTTGAATTAATGGAGCTTCTTTATGTGTCCTCTGAATGCTACTTTGGGGTCAAGCAGCTACTTTATATTACATCTTCCGGTGGCAAGGCGCAGGCCAGCTTAGAGACGGGCACTCCAGGCTCTGGCTGCCAGAGCAGCGGAAACTATTCTTTCTGTCCCAGATATCCCTGACAAACACAATGCAGAGAAAAAGCACCGAGGCCACACATAGCTGACTGAGTCACCTCCTGGGACTCCTCAGCGCCAAGTTTCCACTGAAGAATAAGGGGATCTTTAGTTGAAGCTAAAAAAAAAAACTTGAGAGCAATTAATTCAGCCTTCCTGTTTCATGAATGAAGGCGTCCTTGCCTGGATTCACTGAAAATACAGTAAGAAAGCTCCTTTACCCAATTTCTTTGTTATAGAGCAATCATTTGTAGGATGATAATAGCATTTCTAGATATTAAGGCCTGACTGAGGTTAATCTTTAAAAACAAGAAAATGGCCAGGCACAGTGGCTTACAATAGCCTGCAATCTCAGTGGTTTGGGAGGCCAAAGTGATAGGATCTTGAGGCCAGAAGTTTGAGACCTGACTAGGCAACATAGGAGACCCTGTCTCTAAAAAAACAGACACACAAACAAAATACAACAAAACCTCAAAAAACCCAAGAAAACAACTCATCACCTTTGCTTGCTATCCAACATTGAGACTGGGTACTAGCCACTTTTAGGGCTAGTAACAAGCTATAACCCGAGGGCACCTTGGTGGGTGACTATTTACAGTGAAGGGTTTAGTGCTTGAAAGAGTGAAAGAGCACATACAAGACAAGCTAAAAGCAGAGGGAGTTCTAAAACTCAGGGTTCTGCCCAGCACTCCTGGAGGAACCTCACAGGCTTCGCCTTCATGTAGTCTGAAATTCAACCATCAGAGCTGGTTTGGAAGCTCTCATACAATATTAAATGCAATAAAATTCCAGCCAGAATGTTTTTCTGGCTTTCATTTATTTACTTGATTTTGGGAGGTGGGAGAGGAAGGCAGATGGAAGCTGGAAGTGAAAAGACTGCTTGCGAGTGGGAAGCAGTTCCCTCCCGCATTCCCAGCAGGGACAGTTCTATGTCATGGAGATAAACCCTGGGAAGCAGCCGTGATCTCTCTTGGGAGGAGGAAAAGAGAACGTAAGTCTTCTGAGCTACAGCTCCGAAATATAAAATTCCCTCTAGGAAGGCAGCTCATGATGCTGCAGTTAAAATCTAAAGGAAGGAAACTGGATGTTTTTCTGTGCCCCAGCAGAACATCCTGGGCGGACTGGCATTGCCGTTAACTTCTTTACTCATGGATGGGTCCCATCAACCCTCTTCTTGAAGCCATGCACCACTCCCACTAAGGACTATCTTACCATTCTTGAGAGTCTTTCTATAATCGACCTCATCAATTTCTTCTCTCGGTGGATATTACTTCTTCATGAAGAAAACAGATCATCTGGAAGGTTCCTTTTCAACTACCTCCACCCATATGCTTACTCTTTGGGCCTTCAGTCCCAACAAGGTCTGTTCAATGTCAGTCCATAAACTCACATCCAGACAGCCACTTTCCTTCTTTGTGGGCCCTTTCCCACAAAGAGTTTGTAAACAGGCTCCAGTTTCTGCTACATTAAAATGAGTCTATCTTGAGTCACTCTCCAGCTACCATCATGCCTCTCCCCACTTTTCAGGCACCATTTTCTAAAAGTTGTCTCAACTCTTATTTACTCATCAACTTACTACAATCTGGAAACATCTCTTGTTGTTTTTTGCTTTTGAGACAGTCTCACTCTATCGCCCAGGCTGGAGTGCAGTGGTGCGATCTCGGCTCACTGCAACCTCTGCCGCCCAGGTTCAAGCAATTCTCCTGCCTCAGCCTCCCGAGTAGCTGAAATTACAGGCGCCTGCCACCATGTCTGGTTAATTTTTGTATTTTTAGTAGAGACAGGGTTTCATCATCTTGGCCAGGCTGGTCTTGAACTTCTGACCCTGTGATCCACCTGCCTCGGCCTCCCAAAGTGCTGGGATTATAGGCGTGAGCCACTGTGCCCAACCTGTTTTTTATTTTTTGAAACGGAGTCTTGCTCTGTCACCAGGCTGGAGTTCAGTGGTGCGAATCTTGGCTCACTACAACCTCTGACTCCCGGATTCAAGTGATTCTCTTGCCTCAGCTTGCCAAGGAGCTAGGACTACAGGCACATGCCATCACACCCAGATAATTTTTGTGTTTTTAGTAGAGATGGGGTTTCACCATGTTGGCCAGGATGGTCTCTATCTCTTGGCCTCATGATCCGCCTGCCTCAGCCTCCCATAGTGCTGAGATTACAGGCATGAGCCACTGTGTTCAGCCTGGAAACACCTCTTACAGTCACAGTTAGCTTTTAAAAGCCAAATCCAGAAGAAATTTTTCAGTCCTCATCTTACATTTGACATTTTTAAATGCTGCTTACCCCCAGATTTTTCTGTTCCCTTGGCTTCCAGACCATCATACCTTTGTCCCTCTCGTCATCCCATCACTGTCTCCTTTGCAGGAGCCTCTGCCTCTGCCTGCCTGGAGGTATGGCTACTCTCCAGCCTGACCTTGGCTCTCTGCTCCTCTCATTGTGCACATTGTTCCTGATGACTTCAACATTCTTCATGGCTGAACTACTCCCTCCCTTTTAGGGGCACCGGCTGGACCTTCTTGAACTTCACAATCATACACCGAATTGTCTGCTGATGTCTCCATATAGACATTTTCACAGTCAACTCAAACTCATGTGGCCTAAAATAAACTCCCCACCCATCATGCCTAAATCCAATTCTTCTTAATGTGTCTGCTCTCAGGTATGGCAACATTATCCAACTAGGCACACAAGCTAAGAATCTCCTAGTCGTCTCTGGCTTCTTATCTTCAGTCACCCACTGCTGCTAACTTTGATCCTGGGTAGCTCTCAAACTTGTCCCTCTGCCCCACCTCATTCCTATTTTCACCCACTACAGTCCAGCTTTCATTGTTACTCACTTGGTTTGCTGCCATAGCCTCCTAAGTGGAGTCCCTGTCTCCAGCCTGGTCCCCTTCAATCAAATACAAAAGGCACAGCCAGCAAGTGGTCTCTCTAAGGAACCTGCTATCATTACTCTGCTTGATTCTCTACTGCACTCAGGACATAGTCAACACCCCTTAAGGTAACATACAAAACCCTACATCACCTGGTCCATCTTTTTTCTGAGATAGAGTTGTGCTCTGTTGCCCAGGGTGGACAGCAGTGGAGCAATTTCGGCTCACTGCAGCCTCCATTTCTTGGGTTCAAGTGACTTTCCTGCCTCAACCTCCTAAATAGCTGGGACAACAGGCGTGCACCACTACACTTGGCTAATTTGTGTATTTTTAGTAGAGACGGGGTTTCGCCATGTTGCCAGGCTGGTCTCAAACTCCTGACCTCAAATGATTCGCCTGCCTTGGCATCCCATAGAGCTGGGATTACAAGCATGAGCTACTGCGCCAGGCCCTGCCTGGCCCCATCTACATCCCCAAACCCTCAACCCTGGACACTTCCTGCCACTCACTTTACATAGCCTAAGAGGTACACACACACACCACACAGGCCCCCATCTCCATGCTCTGCTCATGCTGACCTTGGCTGGGAAGGGATTCCCTTCACTAATGCTCACATTCTCAAACAATTCAGAAAACCTGCCCATACCTTCCCAGTCCACTCTCCTGCCTGAATCCCGCACTCCTCCTCAGAGATCCTGTTATGACTTCTCATTTATTCTGTGAGGATCCTTTTATGAACTCCTTTGTTTAACCTCATGGAGGGCAGGGTCTAGATTCCTACTCATCTTTATGCCCCTGGGGCCTCTACGTATCAGACACACTAGACGTTTAATAAAGTTCAGCTAACTTGAGTCCCATAGGAGGGGCATTGTTATTCCTTACCTCTGATAAGGAACAGGAAGCTCAGAATGAGGTTACATGGCTTTAAAAGTCACCCAAGGAAAAGTCTAGGAGGGGAACCTAGAATGCAAAAGCATACCAGCTAAAATAAGTCTTCTTCTTGATAGCAGAAGGCCTCTCAGGGTTAAGCATGGTGGGAACAAGGAACATGCTTATGTTTTTCCACTGCTACCCTACGCCTGACAAGGTGTTAGCCAGTGCATAGCAAATGCTTAGCAAACACAGGTTGGCTCGCTATGATTATGGAGTGATCACTTTCATTTATAGACTGGGCAAGAGTGGGTTTGCTTCTCTCCAGCAGATGGAGCTATGATCCTGTATTATCTCCAGCTATGGTCTGGGAACCTTTAGAAGAACCAGCCTTTTTCATGCATCCCTTGCCATGCTTCTTTTTGTCCTTTATTAGTCTCATATAGAAACAGAAACAACAGCTGGGTGGCTCATGCCTGTAATCCTAGTACTTTGGGAGGCCGACGTGGGCAGACCACTTGCGGTCAGGAGTTCAAGACCAGCCTGGTCAACATAGCAAAACCCCATCTCTACTTAAAAAAATAAAAAAATTAGCGGGGAATGTTGGTACGCACCTGTGATCCTGGTAACCCAGGAGGCCGAAGCAGGAGAATCACTTGAACCTGGGAGGCAGAGGTTGCAGTGAGCCAAGATCACACCACAGCACTCCAGCCTGAGTGACAGAGTAAGACTCTGTCTCAAAGAAAAAAAAAAGAAAGAAAGAAAGAAAGAAAGAAAGAAAGAAAGAAAGAAAGAAAGAAAGAAAGAAAGAAAGAAAGAAAGAAAGAAAGAAAGAGCAACAACAAAATAAGAGGATAGAATACTCTGAATAGACATAGATCGTTTTAAAAATTTGTTCAATGCCCAATATACTTGCTTATATTTTTTCTTCCTGGGACTTTAAAAAAAATCTGTGATAATTACACCTGACTTGATTCAATGAATCTATCAAGTGCTACTCAGTGTCTTCACCTTTATATAATCTTCATAGGTCCTTGTTACAAAAGACATTTATAACCCAAAAGGTTCATCATATTCATCTCTATGTATATACCCTATGTCACTTGGGAAAACAATTAGTTTAGTTTACTAACCGTCTCTCATTTAAAAACAAAACCCTTTGAACCAGGCGTGGTGGCTCATGCCTGTGGTCCCAGCACTTTGGGAGGCTGAGGTGGGTGGGTCATCTGAGGTCAGGAGTTTGAGACCAGCCTGGCCAACATGGTGAGACCCTATCTCTACTTAAAAAAAAATACAAAAATCAGCCAGGTGTGGTAGTGCAC